AAATAACTATTATATTTCCTGATTACTAACGCCTGTGATAAGAAAAATCACATGAATTATGTAAGTCACATGTTATTTTAATGTAAAAATAGTGTTTTTTTACATCAATAAATAATATTTTTACAATTTTTTTTTTTAATTTTGTTTCTTAAAAAATGAAATCAAAGAAGACTGTAAAATTAATACTGCTCGTGAGCTTTAAATAATCTTACAACCTAAAACATCCATAAATACTGATATTGAAAAGGAAATTTATTCCTGTGCAATCAATTCAAGATGACAATAAGAAACCATTACAACCTTCTCAAATTACAAATCTTGAATCACAAGATTTACCTTAATATACCTTTCAATAAATGTAGTAAGGAAAAGGCTTCGATGTTTAATAATTGTCACTTTCAAAATGTAATCTTTACTTTATATAATTTTATTTATAATCATAAATGCTTGTAATATTTTTAAAAATGCTTTTTTCTATATTAAGCTTATTAAATAAAATATATTAAATATTTTGCGATACAATTTTCATTTGATATATCACGGTAATTATATCATGTTGATATTTTCACGGAAAATTTAACTCCGATAGTGAATCTGGTAAAATATCAATATTAAACAATACGGACGAACAATTAGTTAGCGGGTAATATACTAACAATATTTACTAATAATCTTAATAACAAATGTTTTGCTGATAGCTATTAAAAAATGAAAATTATGGGTAATAGTAACTTATTATTTTATAATATATTAATATATTACATTTTTGCATACTAATAATATAAATTTTATGTTTAACCAATTTAATTTTTATTGCAAAAAAAAAAAATATGTATAATTAGAAAAATTATAAAAAAAATATATATATATAAATTAACAAATTATGTATGATAAAATATTATCTTGTATTATAATATTAAATTTATTTCTGATTTTATTTTTATATAAATTAAATAGTTATATTCCTTTTAAATATAAATATAAATTAATTGTAATAATATATTTTTGATGAAATAATTGTTGAAATATTTAATATTTATAAACTTAATAAAATTTAAAATATAAATATTATAAAAAGTATATATTTAAGCATTTTAAACTTTTATTTAATTAATACTTTATAATATTTTATTATCAGTAAATATAATTCTGCAATTTAATTAAAATAAATTAATAAATATATTTTTAAAACTTAAAATAGTTTTATTAATATATTTTTAAAATTTTAAAATATTTTTTAATAAATATTATCTTTGTAATCTATGGGAATTGTTTATTAAAGCTTTAATAATAAAAATTTTATAATAACTTTGATTATAATATTTTTTAATATTTAATAGTATTTTCTTTATTTATACCTATTTGCATAATTAAATTTATATAATTTAAACATATTTAAATTTATATATATAATTATATAATATTTAGCTATCATATAAATTTATATTAGTCATATTTAGTAAAATTTTAATAAAAAAGGTTTTTTCAAAATGATTATAATTATGTAATACATATTAATAGGTAAAATTTTATTAGATTTTTTTTAATAAAATTAAAAGAATAACTTTATTTTAAAGTTTATATTGTAAATCATTTTATTTATTAAATGTCTTTAAATAATCTTATTCAAAGAATCAAAAAATTATTTTTAAGTAATTACTTTTTATTTTTTATTTATATTAGTTATCATGATCTTTATAAATCAATTTTGTTTCTTAATTTGTGAATGTAATTTTATTATATAGTTTTTAATAATATTTTAAAATATATAAAATATTAATAATAGCTTTCAAAGTAAAACATACAGTATTTAACATATAAATAAAATAGTATAATATAACTAACTAAATAAAACTAACTTTTTGCAATTAACCTATTTTAATTGTTATAAAATTATTGAGTAATAATGTATTGTTCTGTCATATTAATTAAATTAAATCTCTTAAGTATAATTTGAATTTTAATAATTTTATTTAAAGTTAAAAAAGAGATTTAACATACTAGTATTAATTTGGGTAAAAATCAAGCTTTATTAAGAAACATGGTTATGAAAATATCTATCTATAAGACATTTTTTACAGAATTTTTATAAATATCCTGACAAGTATTTAACATCCTTGTGAAATTCGGTTTTGGCATCGACAATGAGAAACGTATGAATCTTAATTCGTCGATCATAATGCTTAACATAATACATAATGCATTTTATTTTTAATGAAAGTTATTCCATTGTATGTTATCAGACAAAACCCAGAGGTTTCGACAGGCATCGAAATCAAACCGAAAGGTTTTGAGCTTTTGCTGAAACTGGATTAGGGTTTTATCCGTAACCTCTATATGTTACATTAATTTATTTCAATATTCACAGGGGATTAATAGTTTGCAAAAATAAAATCAATGCCGCATAACCAAAAAACCTGAATATTACGAAAAGGGACGAATTTACCCGAACAATTATTTCTTTCGCGTTGTATGGGTAATGGGTATTGTGCTTCATCATGTTCATCATGTATGATTATCAAACTTGCCATTAGCATCAGAAGAAATCTGTAACGGAAAAGTTTATGCATCAACTGATATGGGATGTGACAAGATCTCAGATGATGGGTGGAATTAACCTTAAACAAAAGTACAAGGGATTAATAAATCTGGCAACTTATAAAAATGCTCGACTCAAAAATTCTGCTCATGGTGCCTCAATCATTTTTAGTAATTTTATAATTAACATAATAATGGAAGCGTCGTATCTACATCAACAGGTTGCAGTCTTCAATACGAATTGAGAAAGTTGATTATGATTGGTTCTGTTTATTTAAATTTTCAGGCATAAGAAAACCATAAAAATATATGTCGCATATTTACGAGACAAAAATTCCAAAGGAAAAAATTTTTTTTTTCTTTTTTATTTAATTAAAGAATAATTAAATTTCTAATTAGCAATTAATGTGATTTTTGGGAAATCAAACGACGACATCGAAAAGTCAAGAAACAATAGGAATATATAACAATGTGCAGGAAATGACGAAGTTCACAGCCATAACCGTTCATCTGTAATTTCCCAATTTTTCAGAAATCTTACCACCCGGTACTCATGCCTCCCTATGCAACCCTGGGTGACTTTTCTAACATAACCTAAATTCATAGGAATGAA